TACCATTTTCTTAGATTCATACTTCATACATTCTATGTTCTGATGATTAATGGATATCTGCAGCTGTTTCTCTTCAATTTGAGTGGTGCCACATCAGCAAATGGAGGTCTCGAAAGCTTTGCCTTATCCATAGGAGTAAGGCTGGGTTTACTCAGATGATGCATCTCTTTCCCAGTCCTATTTTGAGAGCCTTCTAACCTAACGGGACTATTCATAAAGTTGCGCGGTAATGTATCAAACAGTATCTCTTTGCTATTCATAAGGTTTTCCCTGGCCAATTCTTTTAGAAGTGGAGGGCCTCCTCCTTCTTCCTAGTCTGTCTCAGTTTGCAAACTGGGCTGATACCTGTGCACCATGTGCATCCCGCTGGGTTTGAAACACCAGTGGCTCAACCTCAAAACTCACATCAACATGTCACCACGGTAGGACAAACCGACAGACAAGTTTGTCTCCCTGTTGGAAACCTCTCCTACCACCTTTACCTGAGTCCCTGCAGCTGACTAGAAGCATTAACTCAACATAAAGAAAAATGAAAATCCTCACAACTGGACCAATAAGCATCATGACAAATGGAGAAAAGATTGAAGTTGTCAAAGATTTCATGTTACTTGGAATCACAGTCAACACCCATGAAAGCAGCAATGAGGAGATTGACATTGTATTACACTGGGCAGATCTGCTGCAAAAGATCTCTTTAAAGGCTGAAGAGTAAAGATGTCACTTTGAAGACTACAGTGTGCCTAACCTAAGCCATGGTATTTTTGGTTGCCTCATCTCCACGTGAAAGCTGGACAATGAATAAAGAAGACCAAATAAGAGTTGATGGTTTTGAGTTGTGCTGCTGGTGAAGAGTACCGAAAATACCATGGGCTGCCAGAAGAATGAACAGATCTGTCCTGGAGGAAGTGCAGCCAGAATGCTCCTTGGAAGTGAGAATGCCCAGACTTCGTCTCATCTACTTTTGGTCATGTTGTCAGAAGGGGCCATTCTCTGGAGAAGGATGTCATGCTTGGTAAGGTGCATGGTCAAGAAAAAAGGGGAAGGCCCTCAATGAGAT